GGATTTGCGTTTTTAAAAATTCAGCATATTATATGCCATTTCTCTCTTTTTAAAAAATATTTATTTATTTATTTATTTTAGAGACAGTGCAGCATGCAGATGGGCATCTGTGCTGGCTGGGGGACGGGCAGAGGGAGAGGGAGAAAAGCAGACTCCCTGCTAAGCATGGAGCCCACCCTGGGGCTCGACTCCATGACCCTGAGAGCATGACCTGAGCCAGAATCAAGAGTCAGCCACCCACCTGAGCCACCCAGGCGTCCCAATACATGCTATTACTTATATTATTCATTTCAATGTTCAAATTGTCCTTAGTTGGACTATCAGGAACCCCCTTCAAACTAGTCCCTGCATCCTTTTTTGATGTGGCTCCATCATTTTTTTGAGTTTTTCCTCCCTTTGTGGCACCGGTACACTTTTACTGCCCCAGGCTTCAAATTATCTCCTTCTTTTGGAAGCCCTAGCTTCTAATTTAGTGGGAGATGGTATCAGAGACCAAAAGCTGGTTGCTAGGTTGGCTCATTGCTGCTGGGGTGTCATATATACTGTCTCTGGGATGTTTCAAGACACAAACTGGGGAATTATGTGCTTGTAAAACAGGAGTTTTTGCTGATGTCTTGGGTCTTCTTCATCTTACCCAATTATGATCCATTTCTTCCTCTTTTCAGAACCAGAATCCAGCTCCCTAAATATCAGTATATTTGCAAATTTGCTCAACCCCACACGGAGTAAGAACTACCTCCAAACACTCCCCCCCAAAATTTACTAAGTAAAATTCAAGATTTCTTTGCAGATCTTTTGTCTTTAGAGTGAAATATATAATCAAAATACTGTATTTGTAAGTTACTTGGAATACTACTTTTACCCCCTCCTGTGGTTGTATTATTCATCTGATATAAAGTTACTTCATTTATTTTTGTTGGTATTCAATTTTAGTTTTTCCCCCATCCTTGTTGATTTTAGCTTTTGAATATATAAAATATTGTCTAAATCATGCAAAAATATATGTATTCAGAGGAGTGCCAGTTCCTTCCTGTCCTCACTTACCTCCTGTAGGTGATCAGCCTCATTTGTTGTTTTCCTTACTATGTCTCTTTTTGCAAAAATAAGCAGATGCATATATGTATTTTATTTATTTACTTATTTTTGGTTAAAAGCTAATATCCTGCATACTCTTCTATGCATTTTTTTTAAGATTTTATTTATTTATTCATGAGAGACACACACAGAGAGGCAGAGACACAGGCAGAGGGAGAAGCAGGCTCCATGCAGGGAGCCCGATGCGGGACTCGATCCTGGGTCTCCAGGATCACGCCCTGGGCTGAAGGCAGGTGCCAAACCGCTGAGCCACCCAGGGATCCCCTATGCATTTTTTTTTTTTTAACTTAGTGATATAGTCTTGAACTATCATTGAACTCCACACCAGTTCACAGAGAACATCCTCATTGTTATTTCACAGTGGCACAGGACTCTGTTCAGTGACGTTTTACAGTTTATCCCACTAATCCTCTATGTAAGTTCATGTAGGTCATTTCCAATATTTTGCAGTTACCGGTAATGCGGTGAATTAACACGCGCCTGTGTGCTTTTGTGTGGTTGGACAGACAGCTTCAGGGTTTTAAATTCTAATGAATGAGATTGTGTAGCTAAAGGACAGATACATGTGTGGTTTTGTTACATTCAGCCAGATTCCCCTCCACAGGGGCTGGGCCATTTTTATCCTCATCAGCAACGCATTAAGAGCTGCTGTTACCCCAGCCTCACCAAAAGAATATGATGTGAAGCTTGTTAACTTTTGATGACCCGGTCAATGAGAAATCATATCTCTTCACAATTTCCATCAGCAGTTTTCTTCTTCTTTTTCTTCTTCTTCTTTTTTAAAGATTTATTTATTTAGGGTAGCCCTGGGGGCTCAGTGGTTTAGCGCCTGCCTTTGGCCCAGGGCGCGATCCTGGAGACCCTGGATCGAGTCCCATGTCGGGCTTCCTGCATGGAGCCTGCTTCTCCCTCCGCCTGTGTCTCTGCCTCTCTCTCTGCATCAGTGGTTGAGTGTCTGCCTTAGGCTCAGGTTGTGACCCCAGGGTTCTGGGATCGAGTCCCACATCACGGTCCCCACAGGAAGCCTGCTTCTCTTTCTTCGTATGTCTCTGCCTCTCTCTCTGTGTCTCTGATGAGTAAATAAATAAATCTTTAAAAAAAAATAAGATAAACAAGGAGTCCTTTCTAAAGGACAAAGGAGGAGAGATATAAATGAAGTTAGAGACATGGAGAAATCTGGAGGAAAAGCATTGTAGTTGGAGGGAACAGCAGGAGCAAAGGCCCTGGGGCAGAAATAAGCTTGAGGTGCTCAGGGAAGGTGAGGAAGGGTGATCTAAGTAGAGAGAGTAAGGAGAAACTGACCAGGGATGAGTCTGGTGGGGCTCAGACTGCATAGGCATTGCAGTCCAGAGGTAGGCAAAGTTTTTCTGTAAAAGGCCAGATAATTAACATTTTCAGCATTACCAGCTATACAGTTTCTGCCACAACTCTCGAACCTTGCCACTGCAGGTGTCGGCTACACAGTAGCAAAGGGGTGTGGCTAGATGCCCATAACATTTTATTTATAGACCCTGACATCAGGAATCCATGTGCTTTTTAAACTGAGATATTATAAATTACAAAACATAAAGTTCATATAATTCAGTGGTTTTAGTATATTTGCAAGGCTGTGCAGTCAACCCCATTACCTGATTCTGCAACATTTTCATCACCCCCGAAAGAAACCTCATACCCTTTAACGACAGCCAGTGGGAATCTCCCTTCCACCCCACTCCTTGGCAACCACTAATCTACTTTTCTCTCTCTATGGATTTGCCTATTTTCGACATGGCATATAAATGGAATCGTACAGTATGTATCTGCCTTCTTTCTGTTAGCTTATTTTCCAAGTTCATCCATGTGGCAGTATAAATCAGTATTTCATTCCTTTTTTTGGCTGAATAATATTCCTTTATACGGTTATACCACATTTTGTTTATCCATTTAGTTGATAGACACTTGGGTTGTTTCCACTTTTCGGCTATTATGAAAAATGCTGCTACAAACATTCATGCAAAGTTTTTGTGTGAACATATGTTTCCTATTCTCTTGGGTAGAGATACCTAGCAGTGGAATCGCTGGGTCATGTGGTATTTCTATCTTTAACACTTGGAGGAGCTGCCAAATGAAATTCATATACTTTTTACATGCCACAAAATATCATTCTTCTTTTAATTTTTTTTCAACAATTTAATTGTGTAAACGCCTTTCTTAGCTAGTAGGCCATTACAAACACAGGAGGTGGGCTGGATGGTGCCCATGGGCCATAGTTTGCTGACCCCTGTGGTAGGCAGTGGAAGGAATTTAGATTTATTCTGGGTGTGATGGGCACACATATGTGTATTTCTAGGATTCTGGGGGAAGATGCTGATAAGGATGACTTAGATTGATGTAGGGTAGGGGACCTCATAACCTCCTTAAGCCACACTTGACATGGCTTAACTGTTTAAAAGAAGTTCATCTTGAGGAAGTGATATTTGCCTCTTAAAGTTTCTCAAACCAGACGTCTCCTATCCCCCTTCTCCAATGGCTCTGCTCCCTCAACTGTCAGTTTATAAAAATGGTACCTATGTGGAAGGATCATTGGGAGGTTTGAATAAGTTGATGCATATACAACCCTGAGAACAGTGCCTGGCACAGGACTAGACCTGTATAAGCAGTTGCTATTATTATTTTTAATATTATTATTGATGTTGTTGCTGTTATTATTAGTCTCAACTCAGGCCTCATCCTTTTCCCCCTGGAGGATCACAACTAGTCTCTCCCTCCAATCTCTTCCCAGAATCCACCATTCCCCAAGTGTTCTTCTAACACTCCAATCTGACCCTGTCCTTCCTCTGCTCCAGACCTTCAATGGCTCCTTAGTGCCCTTGGCATTTGAGGCCCATCATGGCTGTGTCTCTGCCCCTTTCTCTGGGCACCTGTTTTGTGGCTGTGGCCCATATTTTGGCTATATAGATGGATCGGTTCAGTGTTCCCTGTCCAACCCTTCGGCCATGCTGTTCCCTCTGCCTGTGGTGGTATAACTGTGTACTCTTCTCCTCAGGTCTCATCCTATAGGACCTGGGTGAAGGCCATTCTTCCAGGGAGCTTTCCTTGACTTCCCCTGCCCCTCCCCCTGTCCCTGTCCCTGCCTCTCCCCTAGGTGGGTTGGTGCCTCTTCTGGAACTGTGCTACTACTTTCCTTACTGCACATATCACCATGTATGTGACTAATGACCAATGTCCATATTTGCCTTCCCCAATTACGCTATGAACTCCCCACCTGGAGATTAGGGAAGGGGGGAAAACAGAGGAAGTGGATTCATCTCTGGGGTCTCTAACACCCAGCCAAGGCCCAGCACACAAGGGGCTTCAAAAAATGGAATTTAGTTCAGGACCTAGCAGAGAGGAGAGGGGAGGGGATGGCTGTGCAATGGGGGAGGGACTGGGACTGGCAAGAGGGACCCAGTGCTAACGGATCAAGGGCACCCTCTGCTCTCCAGGCCTCTCCTTGGTGGTGGGTTTGGTTCTCTACATTTCCAGCATCAATGATGAGGTCATGAACAGACCCAGCAGTTCTGAGCAGTATTTTCACTATCGCTACGGGTGGTCTTTTGCCTTCGCTGCTTCATCCTTCCTACTCAAAGAGGTGATGTCTGTGGGGCCCAGACATGAATGGGGAGGGGTCTCATTCCTGGATCCAGGAGTTAGAGGAAATTGGGGGGTGTAGACTCTGGGTTTTAGAGATAGGTGGTAGTCGAGGGCCTCACCTCTGGGTCCTGGAGGAGCGGTCTGGGAGCTCCCAACTTCTGGGTCCTGGGTGTGGGGAGGAGCTGATAGCCTGGACTCCCGGGTCTGAGAGAGGAGGGGCTGGGGGTCTGGAGCCTTGGGCGTCCTTGGGAGCTCGAGCCAGCCTCTGGGACTCTGATCCTGCGTTGCCATAGGGGGCTGGCGTGATGTCGGTGTACTTGTTCACCAAGCGCTACGCAGAGGAGGAGATGTACCGCCCGCACCCGGCCTTCTACCGCCCGCGTCTCAGCGACTGCTCCGACTACTCGGGCCAGTTTCTGCAGCCCGAGGCGTGGCGCCGGGGCCGCAGCCCCTCCGACATCTCCAGCGACGTCTCCATCCAGATGACGCAGAACTACCCTCCCGCCATCAAGTACCCGGACCACCTGCACATCTCCACCTCGCCCTGCTGAGGCCAGCCCCTTCTCGGAGCGCCTCCACCTCCTCCTCCTCCTCCTCCTCCTCCTCCTCCTCCTCCTCCTCCTCCTCCTCCTCCTCCTCAGGGGCTTCCGGGCCCCCAGCCGGGCTCCCTCCCTCGGGGCTTCTCCCTCCCGACTGGAGGATGCCTCGCAAGCTTTAGCCCCGCCCTCCCCGTGGCCCCTCCCCTCGCCCTAGCCCCTCCTACTTTCCAAGGGCTCCTCCCCCCTTCCGGGCCTTTCGACCTCTGCGGTCCGGTCCCTCGCAGACAGCCCCTCCCCCTCCCCTGCGGATCCGGGGCGGCGGACCTCCCCACGGTGCGCACCCCGCGCCCGGGGGCCCCCACGCTGCGCCCCACGGCCTCCCCTCTCGCCGCCGGAGCTCCGGGCTGGAGAGTAGGTTCGGCAGCCGCCTGGAATGCCAACCGTTCTCTCCTCCCCTCGGCCCCGACTTCTCTCCTCCGCCCAGTCTCCTCTCCGGAGCTTGGGGGCCCTCGGGTGCCGCGGACAGTGTTCTTGCTGCGTCCGCAGCTGCAGAGTGGGGTGAGGGGCTGGAGGCCCGGGCACGGTTTAACCTGGTGTCCCCACCACACACACACACACACACACACACACACACACACACACACACACACACACACAGTTCTCTGCTTCCCCGGGAGGCCCCATCCTTCCTCGCCGGCTGGGCTCTTGGCCTTCTGAAGGTCACCTGCTTTCGAGGGGGCGCCGTCGGCAGGATGTCCTTCCTCTCTCAGCAGCCCTGGGCTTCTTCTCTTTTTCCTCTTCCTCCTTTCTACCCGCTCATCCAAAGCCCCTAGGTGCATCTAGCCCCGCACACCCGCGACAGGGATGGAGACCCTAGGGTGGAGGAAAGTCCTCCGTGCCATTTCCACACCTGTGCCGGCCTTTTCCCCCTCGAGGCCCCGTCGGGGGAGGGAGAGGTAGTAGCGGGGGTCGAAACCCCCCAAACCTCGAAGTCTTCCATTTTCTGGCACTCCCCCTCATTGAGGTCCCTCTTCCCATCTCAGACCCCCAACTCTGGCCTCTTTCAAGGGTCCATCCGCCCCCTGGGACAGATTTGGGGGGAAGATCACCGGAAACTCGCCCTCCCCCTGATTAGGGCAGAGGGGGTGAGGTAGCACAGTGCTGTACACGGAACCGGAAAGGCCCCCCGGGGTGGGGGGAGGGGGGCAGGGGAGGGACGGGGGGCTTTTAGTTTGCATCTTAGGTGGGAGGGGGGAGGGGGGACCGCAGCAGTTAACTTGTCCTTACGCAGCGATTTTTAACGAGGCTGGGGGGAGGGGGGCTTGAGGGTGGGGAAGGGGTGGGGTGGGGTGGGGGGCCCTGGCTCTGTTATTTGCCGTGTATCATATGTAAATACCGACAGAAACTTCAATAAACTTTATTTCAAACACGTCTCCGCCTGCCCAGGGAGAGGGGATTGGATACTGGGTCCGTCCAGGTCTCTGCCCCTGGGGTGGGGGCCTTGAGTCCTGCAGAATAAGGTCAGATTGGTCTTTGTTAAGTTGCTTAATCATCATAATTATTAACAGCAGCACTTTATAATTCAGTCCGTGTAAAGCATGTAGGACAGCAAATGACACCCGTCAGGATCAATAAAAATTAACTGTTGGTGTTACCATGACCACTTAGAGTACTCTTACTATTGCTTGCCTTCCTTCTACATTTATTGCCTCATTTGATTTCTCCCCAAGCTTACTTGTTGAATTTACTGAAGTCATTTTGCAGATAGGGCCATGGAGGCGAAATGACTCACCCAGGGTCACATAGGTAGAAACTGGCAGAGGCAGAGCTGAAAGTAGGTTTATCTGGTGCCAAAACTTGAGCTTTCTCCCCCCCTTCTGCCCCTTTGCACTGGAGAGCAGTGGTTCTCCTAATGTTTGAATCCATCCCTCTGTTGAGAAATCACTGCTCCAATTATTGCACACCTACTATGAGCTGCACACTTTCATCCCAAACATGATCTCACGAGATGTTCCCAGCAGCCTGGTATCAGAGGCTCCCAAGCGGGCCCTAAGATCTGAGATCTCACCTACTCCACTGAGGGATTGGAAACAGCCTGAGTGTTTAATAAGCTTCTTGAAGTGTCTTGAAAAGGAAACAATGCTAGCCCTTTGGCTCTTTGCCTTTTTGGGATTTAGGCTCTTGGGGGGCAATCAGAACGGCTCCCACAATCATGACCACATTCACCAAGCTATTATTAGGTGTCAGACACTGTGCTAATAAGCGCTTTCCATGTTGTTAGTTCATTGGATTCTCCCAAACCTGTGAGCTAGGCATTGCAAACAGTCCCGTCTTGTAGATGAAGAAACTGGCACTCAGGGAGATAAGATCCCCCAGCTGGTGAGATGCAAAGGAGAATTTCCACCCAGGCCTGTCCAATTCCAGAACCTTTTCTCTCAGCCACCATATTTCGCCACCATGACTTTGATGCAAACTCATCCTGTGACCTTGAGAAGTCTTTTAATCTCTGGGGTTTTAGTTTCTTTTTCTATAAAAAGGAGGGAGGATGGGCTAGAAGGACTCCAAATCCCTCTGGAACCAGAAGAGTGGTGGAGGCAGGTTAGCAGGAAAGAATAAGATTCAGCAGGAACTGACTCCCTGAGGGAAATATTCTGAGTCATTTCCAATGGTTTCAGGAATTTCTGGAGGTCATGCTTGAGATCTGGGATGGCAAAGATGTTTCAGCTTCTTTGTCAAGACGAATCGATTCCTAGTGGCTGCCTGGAGCATGATATTGAGAAGGATTTTGAATATCTGCTCAGTGGAAGAGGATGTCCCCATTGTTTGGGTTGATTGGTGCTGTCTGCCAGCCTGATTAATTGGTGCTGTCTGTCTTGCCTGCAGAAATGGCACTTTTGGTACAAGTGCTGGACATCTGCTTATTTCTCCAGAATTTAGCAATCTAATGTCCTAAGGTCTATGTTCTTTTAAAAAAGAATCAACCTAGGTATTGTTTTTTTGGGGTGTTGTTGTTGTTACTGTTTGGTTGTGTTTTGCTTTTTTACATTTTGAAAATGGAATGGGAATATGCCAGAGTGACTCAGTCAGTTAAGTGTCTGCCTTTACCTCAGGTCATGATCCCGGGGTCCTGGGATCACCCCACATCGGGCTCTCTGCTCAGCGGGGAGTATGCTTCTCCCTCTCCCTCTGCCTCTGTGCTCTCACTCTCTCTCTCTCTCAAATAAATAAAGTCTTAAAAAACAAAAATGGAATGCGATCTTAAAAATTTATCTTTAAAAAAAAATGCTGTGAAGGGCAACCCTGGTGGCTCAGCGGCTTAGTGCCTTCTTCAGCCCAGGGCATGATCCTGGAGACCTGGGATCGAGTCCCGCATCAGGCTCCCTGCATGGAGCCTGCTTCCCTCTGCTTGTGTCTCTGCCTCTCTCTCTGTCTCTCATGAATAAATAAATAAAATCTTTAAAAAAAAATGCTGTGAAGAGTCAGTCCTACTTCTGACCTCTTGACATCCAGAAGTCCCCATCACCCTCACATATTATCATCTTACCATACACAATTTCAAGAATCTATTTGCATAATGAAGTATATACATGTGTGTTTAAATCCACACACAGGTGAGTATGTAGCACATATATGTTTATTTGACACAGCACTTATCATTGTGTACACACAGTTCTGCACCTCCCAATTTCACATGGCAATGTATTATGGAGAGTAGTTAGTATCAGTTATATAATTCTACCTTATTGTTTTTCAAGGATGCTTAATAATGACAGTTTGCATAAATTAATTGCATAATTTATTGACTGTTTCCTATGTGTCAACCACTTTTCATTCAATAACCCAAGGAAGTTGGTACTTTTCTTTTCATCCCTATTTTATAAATGAGATCCTAGAGGCACAGAGAGGTGAATTAATCATTTCCTGGTCACACAGCTAGTAAGTGTGGTCAAGCTAAGATTTGAATCCTGGGCATCTTCCGAACCTACCATGCTTAACCACCAAGCTAAATACCTCCAAGTATGCTGAAGCCACATAGTTCCATCTATTTACGTATCATCAGTTTTTGTTTAAGAAGCCTCCAGCTTGAACTGAAGACCTTGAGATGGAGAGTTACATGCTCTACCGATTGAGCCAGCAAGGTGCCCCATCTATCATCATTCTATACCATGTTACTCAGTTAGTTAATTTATAGAATAATACTACACACATTAGTGGTCTCAAAGTGTGGCCTAGGGACCCTGGGGCATGCCTGAGACCTGTTTAAGGGGTTCATGAGGCCTAAATCACTTTTACAAGAATACTAAGATATCATTTGCCTTTTTCACTTGTAGTCTCTCATGAACTGAATGTATAAGGTCCAGAGTCTTTTTGGGGCTTCACAACAGGGGGTGCCACAATAGACTGAATGCAGAAGCAGATATGAGAAACCTACTTTCTTCTAGTAGCCCAAACATTGAATAGATTCTCAAAACTATGTCAGCACCACTCTATTTTTGCATGTGTTTGGGAAAATACAATTATTTTTCACTAAATAAGTTGTCTGTGTAAACATGCAATGAGTGTTATCATTTTACCGAAATTAATACAGATTTTTAAGTCTCCTTTATTTGAATTTTGAGTATGTTACATATCAAGAGATGTAACACAAATAAACAAACACCATTGGGATCCCTTGCAAATTTTTAAGCATATAGAGGGGTCCTGAGACCAGACATGTCCTTTTGTTTTTGTTTTTCTTTTTTGCGACCAGACATGTTAAGCATTGCTGCTGTTTGTCACGGAGGCAGCAGCACATCAGATAAAGAGACTCAACTCATTTTTTCCTTAGCTGTGTGTATGCCTTGAATGGAGCAACAAACCCATTTTTATTACAAATTTAATACCTGGGGATTCCTGGGTGGCTCAGCGGTTTGGTGCCTGCCTTTGGCCTGGGGCGCGATACTGGAGTTCCGGGATCGAGTCCTGCATCGGGCTCCCGGCATGGAGCCTGCTTCTTTCTCTGCCTGTGTCTCTGCCTCTCTCTGTGTGTCTATCATGAATAAATAAATAAAATCTTAAAAAAAAATTTAATACCTAACCTTAAATTTCAAAATAAGCAGCAGAGAAGGATGGAAAGAAAAAAAATGCCTTTCATCTTCTCAAGGATCCCAACCCCAGCCTCATTTTCCAGACAGAGTGATTGTTCTCAGTTTCTTCTAGATCAGTGGTTCTTCATGGGGGTGATTACGTCCCCAGGGGGATGGGGGAGGAACATCGGGCAATGTCTCTCTGTTGGGGACACTTTTGGGCATCACAGTTGGGGAGGGGGTGCTGTTGGCCTCTGGTGGGTAGAGGACAGGGATGCTGCTCTGTCCTCCAAGATGTATAACTGGTGCTCAGGTTGAGGAAATCTGCCTTAGACAATATCTATGCAATCACACACTCTCTCTGGCATTTTGTTTGTTTGTTTTTTAAAATTTTTTAAAAATTTATTTATGATAATCACAGAGAGAGAGAGAGAGAGAGAGGCAGAGACACAGGCAGAGGGAGAAGCAGGCTCCATGCAGGGTGCCCGATGTGGGACTCGATCTCGGGTCTCCAGGATCACGCCCCGGGCTGAAGGCAGCCCTAAGCCGCTGAGCCACCTGGGCTGCCCAGGATGTATGATTCTGAATCATAATCCCAGGACATCCCATCTGGAGTGAGATCACTACCCATACCCCATCCCCATCCCCATCCCCATCCCCTTTACAGACAACAGGACAAAGTGCCCAGAGCACAGGGGTTTTTTGGTTCTGGATCCCTTAGGGAGGCAAGGAAAAACAAGGATTGGAACTCAGACCACCTGATTTCTCAGCACTGGAATATTTCCACTTCACCCTGAATGAGGACATTTTAGAAACGCTGATCTTCTCTTCCTGGTACAGCGGGAAAACACGCCGCCACCACTCTGTTCCTCTTGAGAAAACACAAAGGCCCCAGCTGTTGTTGATGAGATACACTCAAGCACCTGGGAGAACGCACACTCAGGATATGAGGCGGGAGAGGATGGACAGGGATGGGAGGTTGTCATTGGCTGCCAAAGGACTCTAGAATATGTATCCACTTGCTCCCTGAATCTTTCAATGTTTTCTCCATCCATCTCCATCCATCCATTCAGCACCTGCAGACTGAGGCTTCTTATCTACCAAAACTGGGC